TCAGCAATCATTGGAAGGACGTAATAAACCATTTCGACACACATTAGGGTGTGTAGAATAATACATAGTGTTATATTAAATGTATAAGATATAGGTTGGTTTACAGCAATACAGTATATAATTTAATGTTGGGTTTATCTATGGCAGTATATAGTACGGTATATGCTCGTGTGATGTAAGAGAATAAGGTCTAGATGGAAGCATATTATAGAATTTTTACGAGGTAGAATGGTAATGTATTACTTGCTGTTAGTAACTCAGCTTATTATAGAGTATAGTAAGTATACTGATGGTGCGATGCAGTTTATACTTTAGTTTTTTATGTAGTTTATACTTTAGTTTTCTACGTGGTTGTTGAGTAACTGCAGCTACATATCATTAACATTCCTTCCCTTTGTTACTGCTAATCCCTGCACCCCCCTTGGTTGCTGCTGATCCTGCATAATGCATGGGCATAATATGACTTTGACACCCCCCCGCCCAACGCCTACGCATTTTCCATGAATATGCTAAATTCCTCTTCACATGCACATTCTTTTTGTTAAGGCGCTCTTCAACCCCCAATGCAGCTTATATATAAGCTCCTAGTTTGGTAGTGTCTCATTCTTCACCTGAAGACGGCTGCTTGCGTTGTAGCCGAAACGTCGTGAGAATTGTTTTATTATGTTTTATTTTTATTATTTTATTACTTCCCTTCTACGTGACTTTACCGAAAGAAACAAGAAGATGAATCCCTGCAGTCACGAAAGCTTTAAATCGAAACTTGTGGTTGTTGTTGGTTGTTTGACTTGCATCCCACTGGGATTTTTGCCCACAGCGTTGGTGTACGGTGTTTTTCTGCAATATTTTGTTGTCTTTTCTTGGATTTTCTGTTTGCACTCAGTCACATATTCACTTTAAGATGTTTTTTGCTCATGTTTTTGTTTTTTGTTTGTTGCGGTTGCACCCGATTCAAGAGCCGAATGGCTCACAGGGCTATACCTAATAAATGAACTTGAAACTTAAACTTGAGTGTCAAAAACTGGTCTGCCAACCAGCATGAAAACTTCCCAGTATCAGAGAGCTCCCTCTTTTTCCAACACACGCACGCAAATTCAGTTGTTCACAAGTGTGGATAAGTTAAACATTTTATTCGTTACATCTTTGCGCAGGCGAGACCTGAATTAGTTGGGGGAGGGTTATAGATGGAGCATTGATGAAACTCGGTCATATAGTCCAGCAAAAAGAGATCATCAAGTCTTAGCTTCATAGTTCACTGGAGTTGACAGAGCAAGGCCACAACTGCACTATGGTCACTGCCTCTGTTGCCTTTGTCCAACCAATCATTGAATTAGAAGGGGGGAGGGGGGGTGAGCGTTGATGATTGAATCAGTGCCCCGACTGCTGTCCTCTGTGTGATCACAATGCAGGTTCCGCAAGAGCACCTCAACTACCGCTACGAGGTGCTGGAGTCAATAGGACTCGGAAGTCAAGGCCAGGTGTTCAAGTGCCTCGACCACAAAACCAACACTGTAGTGGCCATCAAGATCCTGTCGACACCAGCGAGGTAAGATTTGACGAGGCTGCGTCGTTCGGTTGGTTTCTTTTGGCATCACTCGTGCCTCAACAAGAAGGGTCCTGGGTTCGACTCGTGACACGGGCGCCGTACTGGGTGGTGGCTGAACTGCACGTGGCAGGCTGCGATCCAGCACTCTGGAGGCAGCAGAAGCAGCATGAGCACCAGCGATGGTTGTTGGATCACCACATAACTGTCGCAAAACTGTGTGGACTTCCTCCCCGTGGAGACGGCCATCCAGAAAGTGGATTAATCTCAATCTGTTCCAATCTCGGTTGTGATAGAGTGTTGCCTCCCCTCACACGTGTGGATTTTCTCTGGGCACTCCGGTTTCCTCCCAAATATATAAACTGTCATTGATTTATCTGAAGACATTTTAATAAAGGACCTCATAGCTTGGGCAACTGTCCGTACCAGCTGTCCACCTGGCTGCTGCTGCCTTCCTACTTAACTGTGAACCCTCATGTTCTCTCTGAATTGTTCTGATTAAATGTCTCTCTGAGTCGTTCTGAGTCATTCTCTTTCTGAGTCGTTCCCTCCTATTAGTTCTCTCCAAGTTATTCTCTTAAGAGTCATCTTCTCTTTCTTTCTCACTGTGAGAGCGAGCAGAAATTGCGGTGGTGCGTTACATGTTCATATCATTTTCAATATGTGGACTTCCTCTGTGCAGCGATGAAGAAGAGGATGCTCAGCAAATGGAGCTTAAGATCGTTCTCCAACTTCAGGGCAAGGACGATGATGATGACAACTACAACGTCGTCAAACTCATGGATCACTTCACTTTCAGGGGACACTTCAGCATAGTCACGGAACTGTTGAGGTACGTGAAACAAACGCACACGCGAGTAGACAAAGACAGTGCAAATATATTGTGGTAGCAAAAGGTGCTTGAAAAATAGTTTTCGGTATAATTTAGGCACATGTGCAAGTAGGCTCTGTATTTCGTCTATCCGCGGACACAAATGCAAACGCAATTCGAGAAAGACAGTGCAAATATAGTGTGGGTTCAAGAGGGACAGGAAAATCAGTTTTTGGCACAAGTTAGGTACATCTTTCTTCTTTCTTTTATATATAAAAGTCTCCGCGCGCTCGCGCTTGCGGGGGATTTGGCTCTGGAATGGTGGCCTTCACGTGGAAAAAAATTTGCCCTAAGCCCCGCGGTGGGAATAGGCTATTCCGTTTTCCCATCCGTAAACGTTAAGTTAGGGTTATAAGGCTTAGAGTAGGGTTGCGAGTTATTAAGGTAGTCACGTGATGCCTTCTTGTAGACAAACGCACTACAGCTGCTGCATTACACGAAACAAAACAATAGAGCAGAACAGCCTCCACATAGCCATCTCTTCAAATAATACTAGTGGCTATACTCATTACATCAGACGCACAACCTTCTGAAAGTGCATCTCATCGGCAGCATTGATTCAATACAAACAACACCCTGGATAGGCCTCGACAGTGTCTCATCAGCAGTCAAGGTTCGCTGGAACCAATATTTGTGAACTGCCAGATATTATTAGCAGTGACCCACTCGTAGATATGGGTGCTAGTTCAGCACAGAACTCAGTAATGAATTGGCCTGCTGATAATTACTCCAAATCTATAGCTGCAGATTATTGGGTGAAGCGGAGTGGAAGATGGAAGCCTTCACGCGGTTCACTCTAAGTGAGAAATCACGACGAATGCTATCAATGCGGCAACTGAACATTAACCTCTAGAGCAGGGGTCCTCAAACTTTTTAAACAGGGGGCCAGTTCACTGTCCCTCAGACCGTTGGAGGGCCGGACTATAGTTAAAAAAAACAATGAACAAATTCCTATGCACACTGCATATATCTTATTTTGAAGTGAAGAAACAAAACGGGAACAAATACAATATTTGAAATGAAGAACAAGTAAAGTTAAATCAACAAACTTGCCGGTATTTCAATGGGAACTATGGGTCTGCTTTTGGCTAATGAGATGGTCAATGTCCGGTTCCATATTTGTCACTGCTAGTCGTAACAAGTGATGCAAGTGTGCATTCGTTAGTCTAGATCTGGTTGGAGATTTTAAATGTTTTATTCTGGAAAAAGTCTGTTCACAGACATAAGTGCTGCCAAAGATGGTTGCCATTTTGAGTGCATGGTTCCTGAGATGAGGATATGTCTCAGAGGGGAGAGATGCATAGAAATTATGAAGGCTGATTGACTTGAATGCGTCTTTCAGAGTCACAATTCTGCAGTTCAGCCAGTTCCATTTGGTAAATTGTATCCACATTTTCAATGTCAATAGAAAATGGGTTACAGAAAAGCTGTATGTCCTGTTCATGGAGATGAAGCTCTTTAAATCTAAATTGGAACTCCTTTTGCAATTTTTCCAGTGAATCCACACATGTTTTGTTTGGGAATGCAACCAATGGTTTTTCCGCTAACAGATTTTGAGTTGTGGGGAGATGGCAGAAGTTTTCCTCCTTCACTTGTTTGATGAGGCCTAATTTTACTTCAAATGCTTTGACATGTGATTGCATATCACAGATGAGCTTCCCCTTTCCTTGAAGTTGCACATTGAAACTGTTGAGTAGCTCTGTTACATCTGTCAGAAAGGCAAGGTGCCATTTCCATTCTGCATCATTGAGCTCTGGTACTTCTTTGTTTTTTGAAAGCAGAAAAGCTGTAATCTGTGGAAGTCATATAAACGTTTCAAAACTCTCCCTCGACTCAGCCAACGGACTTCTGTGTGGTACAGAACATCTTCATAGTCAACATTTAGCTCAGACAGAAATTCCTGAAATTGTCTGTGGTTTAGTGCATGAGCTCTAATGAAGCTGAGGGAGGGAGAGCCAGTCAAGCGCAGCCAGGGGAGGGCTGGCAGCCTTAGGCCTGGGGGGCAATTCCAGTTAATTGGCCCATTGAACCATTCACCAGCGCAGCCCAATGAGTGCCCACCGCCGCAGCTCAATCAGTGCTCACCAGCGCAGCCCAATTAGTGCTCACAAGCGCAGCCCAATTAGTGACCATGGGCCGGATAAATGTCCTCAGTGGGCCGCATGTGGCCCGCGGCCCGTAGTTTGAGGACCCCTGCTCTAGAGCAAGACTAACAGCCACGCCAACGGTCCTTTCCAGGACCGAACGCATGATGAAAACACATTTATCTCAGCAATTAATCTCCAGGATTCAATATCATGATCAATATTCAATTATTTCAGTAATCAACATATTCTCAGTAATACATAATATAAATGTTCATGACTCTCAGTGATCACTCTTTTTAGTATTTAATATCACAATTAAAATCTATTGATCACATTACCAAACTCGTCTTAGTAATCAATATCCTAATCAGTATCCATTAACATGAGTAATACCTGTGCTAAAAATTTGGTATCACATGACAGAACAGTCCTCCAGAGTGAAGTATGGAGCAGGGTGTATGGCAGGCACAACAGAGCAGGGCAGAGACGGATTTAGGGGTTAAAGCGATTTATTGCGGCTCTCACCAAGTTATGGGAGGTGTGGTTGTGGCAATCAATGCCACGTCCCCAGAAACACAAATCCCATGCTTGAAAATACAAAACCCGCACGGACCTAAAGTTCCATCGCAAATCCGAATGCACTCTCAGAACAGGACTCCATTAATCGGGCTATTGGCCAGGTAGGGTAGCCCCTACACAAACCCGTACCTCCACACACACCCCTAGCATCTACACGAACTCGCACACACACCTGATAGTCGGGTTGTACGTACGGAACGGGGCGTGGCCATCGACAGCCAACGGCACAGGCCTGAGCCACTAACAATGCAGTGAAGGCCTTGCACCATGGCTTTGACTGTATACAAAGTGTTTCTAGCTGGCTGATTAACCATTCACCTGAAACCACAGTGAACTCTTGATACAACGGTGAGCACTTGTCAGTGAACACACGCCACCTCGGTGAACACTCGGCAGAGTACTGCTACAGTGTGCATTTCAAACAGCAGAGCACGAAAAACAAAGGGCCCCCTATAGCCTCAACATACTGTTGGGGAAAGTGCTGTTAACGAGCACCCATGAAGGCCAGCACGGTACACAAGGGGGTGGATGGCCAGCACCACACCCGACCACCTTTGTCTCCCTAGTGACGATGCTTTACGCAGTGCACCAGGTACTCATTCGTGGCAAAGTCTATCTAGGAGAGGCCCAGGCCTGGTTCAGATAATCGCCACTGGTGTTGGGCGTGAGCAGGAATCGAACTCGGGTGCAGCGCGGTTTGCTACACCACTGCTCTCCATGGGCACAGGGCCACAACCACTCCCACATTGTTTCATTTATCTCACGGATTCATCTTCTTAGTGATCAATATCATGATCATCATATATTGATCCGTGACCAATATTTGTCAGTAATCAATATCATGATCAACATTCAGTTATCTCGGTAATAATTAATCAGGAATCAATAATGTCAATATTCATTGATTTCAGCAATTAATTTTCAGGATTCAATAGCATGATTCACATTCAGGGATTGCAGTAATGATAAATATTTATTTATTTCAGTAATTTGTGTTCTCAGCAATGACCAATATTCAATTCAGGTTCCCATTCTACTCTGCATTCAATGTCAATATACATTTATCATTAATATTTATTGATATCAATAATTAATATTTTAGGGTAATGGGTCACACAAAGACAAATACCGACATAAAGCCTGACAGTTAGGGCAAGTGCTGTTAGCAAGCACCACCTATGAAGGCCAGCACGGCACACGAGGGGGTGGGTGGCCAGCACCACGCCCGGGCCGCCTTTGCCTCCCCATTGGCAATGTTTACACATTGCACCAGGTACTCATGAGGCTAAGGCGACCTTAGGGAGGCCCAGGACCAGTTCATATAATAGCCACTGGTCTTAGCCATGAGCAGGAATCGAGCTAGGGTCATCGGGTTCGTATCGCAGCGCGCTAACCGCTACACTACCATTCACCATCTCACACTTGCTTACTCACACGGCCACTGTCACTCACTCACCCAATCACAAAGCCAATCAGTCACACCCACTCAAAGGGAAAATATATAATACCGTATGTGGTTGTGCCCTGAAGAAGGGCCATTGCCCAAAACCTTGCCTATTATATATTATTGAGAGTGGGTGTGTTGGTGAGAGACTGGGCGAGTAGGTGTGGGTGATTGACTGTGGGCTTGTGCGTGGGTGAGTGTGTGAGTGACTGAGTGGGTGTGTTCCAGACGGCTAAAACACAAAGTTGGCAGTTGGTACATCTGCCAGTCATCTCAGTCAGTCACCCCATGGCACCTGGGTCTGTCCCTTGACCTCCTGCCAGCGAACCTTTGACAGTTCACATGGCCTCAAAGTGCAACTTGCCTGGCACAAAAGCCGTGGTGATGTCACCGCCACTTAGTAGCAAATGGCAGTTGTGCGAGAGTGTGAGTGACTGAGTGTGTGTGGGTTTGTGGGTGAGTAACCGAGATGGTGTGATTGAGTGACCGAGTGGGTGAGTAAATGTGCCCCGAAGTAGATCCATTGCCCAAAACGTTGCCTGTGGCTGTGCATTGCCGCTAGTGATTGGTGTGGAGGAGGAGGAGCCTCTGGCTGAGGCAGTGATTCTGGGCCACCAGGTGCTCAATGACATCATCCTGGTACTCAACGAGCTCCCTCACACCCATAGACCTGCAAAGACACACATAGGGATTGTTAGATATACTGTATATTGCAATAGTTAGAGATACACAGAGATCTACAGACTATGAGATCTATCACATACACAGATCTGCATGAAAATGCTCAGAAAACACCTGGGGTTTGGAGATCAGATCACCATGCTTTCCTTAAAGGATGGTGAAAGGCATGGCTCTTCAAGTTACTCTTTTGATGGAATTCAAGAGTCAATTGTGATCGCAAAGTGCTGACGCAGTTTCCATCTCCTCAGCTTCAACCCACAACCATCAGTCATCCTTGCAACGCCACACAACTATCCTGACCCTCTGAAGGCTGCCGTAAGCCTCCTTATTCTCCATGGTAGGATGTTGTACACAGTGGGAGTGGGCTTACTCTCAGCTATCTGGAGAACACTTCCTCTATGAGCAAGGGTCTATGGAGGAGGTCTGGACTGTGTACCAAACGCAGCCATAGTCCTGAGCCTCGCCCATTTCCCCTCAGAATCAGGAGGGGTGTACGATGCCAACCCTACCTCGAAGTGATGATGAAATTCTTGCTTGCAACTCTCATTAGCGAGTCGAGACCAGGCCACTATGGGTTTGAATGGGGTCCTAGGTGGACGCCCATCACAGCAGTGGAGGAATGGCAGGCGTATCTTAGAGATGATAAGCCAATGGTCAGTGGGCAGATCGGCTCCACGGTTGGAGCCGATTCCCGTCAGGGCCATGGAACGTGATGCTCCACCCGTCTTACTTCCCCTGACCACTACTCATTAGCCTCACTCTTTTTTCTACATCTGGGAGAGAGCTGCAGATGTTTATTCACCAGCTAAAGTATAAATATAGATATTTTACGTACAGAGCCTCCAGAGAAACACCAGACTTTATGACATACATCTGTTGCCATCTATTTAGTCTTCTTGTGCCCTTTCCTTCTATCGTGGTGTTTTTATTCAAGTTTTATTCTCCTTTACGTGCACGATAGAAATAATTAAATGCATTCAGACTACACAATTCGTAAAGCTATCACCCCAACTGTTGGAAAAGAACCGTCTGAGGACCCAATAAAAACCATCACCTTGCCATACATAGCAGGGGTAACCAAAACTATTTCCAAAATCATGAGCAAACACAAGATCCAATCTTGATTTGAAGCTTTCGAGACTGCAAGAATCCATACTCTTTGGTTCTTTCGGTAAAGTCACGTAGGTATAAAATAAATAAATTACGACGTTTCGATCGCAACACAAGCGGTTGTCCTCAGGCGGAAAAAATATAATCCAGTAGTGGAACTGCTGAACCAGGTTCGATTCAACACAGTACATAAAATTCGTAATCTCATCCCATCTGTGAAGGATGTGATCCCTGACAAGCAATACCCCGGTGTCTACAAACTAAGCTATGTCTGCGGCAGTAGTTACATTGGGGAAACTAAGCGATACGTCGCGGACCGTGTTCGTGAACATGCTTTAACGCTGTGGGGGACACAATAAATTATTTTTTCCAAGACGAAGGTACTCTGCAAACCCACTGACTAAGAGCAAAAATTCGTTCATGAAGCCATCCGGATATATAAACACGGACACAATTTCAACCAAGAATATGGGTACAAACTGAGCAATCATTGGAAGGACGTTATTAACCAGGTAAAGTCATAACTGGCTGTGATGTTTCCATCCTACTTGCCGATGTTAGCAGTTATTTTCGACTCTCCGAGTTATATTACCAGGTTAAATGTCATTACATTAACAGGCTAAATGTCTCACTAACACAACCACCGTTGCTCGTTGGCCTCGATGTGGTGTTGGTTTACGGTTTTCCTACATTGACATGCTAATTTCTCACAATACATTGGCCACCTACGCTTCGTCTTTCTTACATTGACATGCTAATATCTCACCTCCACAGCTTCATCGTTATGGAGGAGCTCAGCCCTCCGATCTTACATTTACATGTAGAATTCATCTCTAGCCTTGCCCACTTCGCTTATGACCCCTGGGCTACACCCATCTCAAACCTTAATAACACCCTGCCTCAGCAGCGCTCCCGCTATTATTATTTTTTCCTCCCACAGTAGCTTTCCCGCTATTTTTTTACCGGATGACGATTGCTTGTGTTGCGATCAAAACGTCGTCATATTTTATTATTATTTTTCTATCTACGTGGCTTTACCGAAAGACCCAAAGAACATAATTAAATGCAGTATACCTCACGGTTACTGCATAATTACTTTAGGTATAATCCCACATGGCGCCCAAGCGCTCACTTCGGCGTTGTAAATGCGGGATTGAAATCCCCAGTGCCAACTCCCATAGACGTTGATGTACGCATCTATGATTAATATTGAACTTCCTTTGCACCGTATGTAGCCAACCGTGCTTATCAGAGCTTCAAGGGAAGGACAAACTGAACACAAAAAGCAGTTCTAAAGAAATTAGTTTTCAATCTATATTTACAAGTGCATAGCAAATGGCATTGCTCACAGCCACCATTGTTACTGACGACAATCAACAGCAAGGAGGTGGGGTGTTTTTGGAAGTCGGTGATATACACACAAACACACTTAGAGAGGGCAGACAATCTCACTTGGTGGTGCCGGCTGTGGAGGACGCCATTTCTTTCTCGATGATGTCGGATTGTGGGGTCGATTTGTTGAATCTGACAACTCGCACTGACAACATCATCAGCATCATCAGCTCCTTCTCTCCACGTATGTGTCTCTCTCTCCCTGTCTCTCTTCTATGTCTCTGTGTTCCTCTCTCTCCCAATGTCTCCCTCACCTTTTCTCTCCCCTAGTCTCCCTCTCTCCATGTCCCTATTTGTGTCCCTTCCTCTCTCTCTCTCTCTATCTCCCTGTCTCTTGGTGGGCTGCAGGTGGCACAGTGGTAAGACTGACGCCTCACAACAAGAATTTCCTCGGTTCAATTCCCGACTCGGATACCTCTGGTGGAGTTTGTGTGTTATCCCCCTGTTCTGCAGTGAGTGACAGTGATCGTACGAGCGAGTGAATATTCTGAATGGGTTTCCTCCGGGTTTTATAGTTTCCTCCTTTCATAGCTAAAAACACACAGTGGCACTCGTATTCGCCAAACCACACCCAATTACTCAATTTGGATCACACACAGCAGCAGCGTCGCCCCTGACTGTGAATACATGGCAGGACCCTCCTGAGTCAGTCTTGAGACTGTTCTGGGTAAACAAGCTTAAACAATATCAAACAACAACTGCCCTCTGTCTCTTCCCCCGTGTGTCTCCCGCTCTCCCCAGGTCTGCGTTTCTCTCTTCCCATGTCTCTCCTTCTCTCCCAATGTCTCTCCCTCTCTCCCAATATCTCTCCCTCTCTCCCAATGTCTCTCCCTCTCTCCCTGTGTCTCTCCCCGTGTCGGTATTTCTCTCCCTGTGTTTCTCCCCCCATTTTTTTTCTCTCCCCGTGTCTGCCTGCGTGTCACTCACCCACATATGCGATGAGACACGGAGAAAGGAGGAGGAATTCTGCACAAATAATCCCGACCCACATCCAGAGCCAAAATCTCTCTCCTCCAATTCCCCCCCATGTCTCCGGGTCTTCTACTTGCTTCTCCGTTGCACAGATTGTCAGCAGAAGAGCGTTACCTAAAAAATCAACAATATAATTAATATCTGTGTGTCTATCGCTATTTCTCTATCTCCTCTAATCTGTGTTGAAGATTATAATGGCCATGTCTCTGTCTCCGACTCTCTGCAGGTAACAAGCTGAGATTAGGAGCACTCCCTTTAAGAGTGTGCTCCTAATCTCAGCTCATTACCTGTATAAAAGACACCTGGGAGCCAGAAATCGTTCTGATTGAGAGGAGGTCAAATACTTATTTCCCTCATGAAAATGCTAATTAATTTATAAAATTTTTGACATGCGTTTTTCTGGATTTTGTTGTTCTTATTCTGTCTCTCACTGTTCAAATAAACCTACCATTAAAATTATAGACTCATAATTTTTTTGTCAATGGGCAAACGTACAAAATCAGCAGGGGATCAAATACTTTTTTCCCTCACTGTACATATTACATGACAAATTCACCTGCATCGATTTCACCACCAGGGCATCTCTCTCGACCTATCGTGATCACCCACGGCCAATCCTTCTGTCGCCACTCGTTCCACTCTCTCCTCAAAGATGTTCCACTCCAAAGAGGGCTTCATCCGGATCCAATGGGCCACAATTAGTCTCCCTTGGATCTCCTACCAGATAGTGATTTCAAGCACTGCACTGGTGAACTTGCAAGAATGGTTTCTCATGTTGGTAACCCCTCTTTCCAGTCCAGTCTTTGGCCTCCATCACTTAAATTAAGCCAAGTGATACTTCTACAAAAAAGGTCTGACCACGAAGACCATAAAAACTAGAGACTCGTAGTAGGTTTTTACCCTTTTAAACTGGTACAAAACTGACACCTTTATTCAAGGCATCATGTTTGCAATAACCACAACACAAGTAGTCAAAAAAGCAAACAAAAAGAAGCAACTCTGATAATGATAATAATATGCACTGTCCTTGAAGCTGATTGGTCCACACCCGAGACGGCTTTCTTTAGAGCCTAGTCCCCATTGGTGTTGGACCAGATGACACCAGAAGGCGTGCAACTCAAACACAGTGCAATATCAGAGTATTGAGAGCTCGGGGTAAGCATTTACACTATGAGATCTCTTTTACCAGTGGCAAAATATAGTAGTAGGATTTTACCCTTTTAAACTTGTGTTGTGGTTATTGAAAACATGATGCCTTGAATAAAGGTGTCAGTTTTGTACCAGTTTAAAGGGTAAAACTTACTACTATATTTTGCCACTGGTAAAAGAGATCTCATAGTGTAAATGCTTACCCCGAGCTCTCAATACTCTGATATTGCACTGTGTTTGAGTTGCACGCCTTCTGGTGTCATCTGGTCCAACACCAATGGGGACTAGGCTCTAAAGAAAGCCGTCTCGGGTGTGGACCAATCAGCTTCAAGGACAGTGCATATTATTATCATAGATTTCCAGTAAGGGCAGGTCAGTAAGTTACAACACAGAGTGAAAGAGAGAAACACACAGGGAAAACGATAGAGATATAGATAAAGCAAGACATGGGGAGAGACATGGAATCCAAACTGCGTTGAGGATCGTAAAGGCAGTGTCTCTATCTCCCCATGTCTCGGTGTCTCACCTGTGTTGAAGATCATCATGGCCGTGTCTCTGTGTCTCCGTGTCTTCCTCTCCCATCTCAAGTGCCCTTGCGCGCGAGCCCAGCTGAGTGAGCAATGGACGTTCCACGCAGAGACAGAGTGGATCAGATAGAGAGCGATCCGCCCAAACGCGATCCAGCGACTGACTCGGAGCTCGGAGGCCAACGGAGACAGAGACGCCCAGAGAAGGAGACAGACAGCGGCCAGCTAGAGATAGAGAGAGAGAGAGACATGGGGAGAGAGTCAATCATCGGATGTTGACCATTGTGTCCACCAGGGTGAGTGGACTATGGCGACGCCATGGATGGCACCTGGCCCAGACACAGAGCTGCAAGTCGCGGTTGGCCAGCGTCTCATCTCTGGTTCTTGCGAGATGTGACCCGGCAGTTCGGTTAGTCTCTGTCCCAGGGTCTGGGACACACGGACTGCCACATTACGGAAGCTCCACACATGGATCCGTTCAATAATTCTCAAGGGCAAGGTAACAAACCCTCCGTCCATCTCTTTCCCAAAGCTCTTCAGAACAGCTGCAGGGGGAGCCGTCTTCCTTGACCATCGTGACAGTGGATGGACCACATTTATTCTGCAGGAAGCTGAAGTGGCTTTAAAGGAGGAGTAGTGGTTGTTGTGCTGCTTGGTCTTCTTCAGCTTCATCAGAGAGAACGTTTCATGATCGGCCCTGGCTTTCGCTCAGATTTGTCAACACTCGACATTCTGCCATGTCGCACACACAATAGTGAGCACCAGACTCTTTGCCTGATGACATCAACAGCCGAGGTGACCTCCTCGTCTCCATTGGCTGCACGTCTGGCCAGCTTCCTGATGATAATCCACGTTTCCTCCTCTGTTGTCTGGGAAAAAAAATAGGATCACCTGGCTCTGACAATCCTCAAAAGACACTGGCACAACCATCAACTGCATCTGAAAATCAACAGGAAAATCAAAGACAAGCCACAGTGGTGTGGTTGTGGCCATGCAACCCAAACTATGGACCAGATAAGTAAACCGACTGTAGTCTGCACTACAGGCAACCCCTACGATCTAATTGGTTCCTGGACGATGGTCACAAGTCGAACCCGTCATAAGTCGAACCCATATTTCCCATAGGTGCATTGTTGTAAATTGGGTTCCATTCTTAGGAACCCTTTACATACCATAAAAATTACCAAGATAAATAACTCCTTTATTGTAACTGAACATACCTTTTCCAAACATTTATTAAGTAAAAATAAGAAAGAAAAATCTGCATGTCCATCAGATATCCTCTTCTCAGACATAGCGAAAGGAATTTTTTTTTAAATTTTAAGAAAAATTACTAAAAAGTAAAGAGCGTTGCGTAGGAGATGCGTTTGCTCTATGCACAGCAGCAGACTGTCGGACTATACTGTACATACCGCTCAGGATCCTGTCTGTACAGACGTATCGTCTTGAGATAGCAGGTTCCATCGCATAGTAGGGAGATGTCATGCGATCTGAGGTATGAGCGCAACTGGTGATCAGCTATGAAGGTGGTCCCACTGCCCAAAACGTCACCTGTTGTTTACAAGTCCTCTAAAGGACGCAGTGCTGTGATTGACGAAGGTGTCAAGTTTTTTTGCTCTGCTAGCGGCGATCGGTATTTCCTGGTGCTGCGAGACAGCGTTTTTCATCACTGGGTGAGAGAAACGTGGTCCCTTTCTTCGACGGTGGACATCGACGTTCGATATTCGGGTCCGATGGTGAACGTCCAAGACGTGGGAAAGAGCCCGTGGCAGACAGGCCCCATCAACGCAGTTCGAGAGAAGCGGGATTTTCACACTCGGCACGATGGCACCAAAGGGGCCGACGAGAGACTCAGAGCCGGAGCGTCCACCGCCCGAAACAGCGTTCACATCGCCTGGCGCCATCGCGGAAACGTACAGTGAATCCGGCTGAGACGGAAGGAGCAGCAGAGCCATGAATCCATTCTCCCTGCTCCGCGCTAGCATCTATAGGTGGTGCGCAAGTGACGATGGCCGATGACAGAGGATAAGGGAGAGATACCCGCGTCTGTGCCACAGCCTGGCATAGGCACAGACGAGGTGGAGGAGATGTGGCTAAAGCAAGTGGTGAGCGCTGCACTTCCAGTGGGGGTTTGATCATAAGAGGTGAACACTTAAACCATGGCCCCCGTCAACTCAGGAGCACTGGCAGGGAGTGATAGACACGGGGAGAAAGAGAGACACGGGGAGAGAGTGAGACATGGGGAGAGTGAGACATGGGGAGCAAGAGACATGGGGAAAGAGACATGGAAAGAGAGCGAGAGACACGGGGAGAGCCATGGGGAGAGCGATACACAGGTAGAGCGAGAGACATGGAGAGAGAGATATGGGAACACATGGGGAGAGATACACGGGGATAGCGAGACACGAGGAGAGCAAGAGACACGGGGAGAGAGTGAGACAGGGGAGAAAGGCACAGGATAGCGAGAGGCACAGGAAAGCCAGAGACACAGCAAGAGACGGGGAGAGAGACAACCGTTGCACATGTAGACGTGCGCACAGACACTCACGTGTATAACCGTTGTGACGAAGACTGTATAATGAGACTTGATTGATGTTGTCTCTGGTCTCCGAGTCACCAGCTCCTCCTCCTCCTATCACAAAACAAATATCACCCAGGTAGCCTCAAAACTAATTACTTGATGCGTTGCCAGTGGTGCACAAACACAACAAACAAAACTGTAATACATTCGTGGCCTTAAAATTAACAAATGTATAACAAGCGACGTTTAAGGCAATGACCCTTGGCCCTTCTTCATAGTACAGTGTAAGGTGAATTAAATGAACATGAGTGCAAAAGTGACTTTGTGAGTGGGTGAGTTGAGAGCGGTGGCACAGCTGACTGCACTACGAACCTGGCGACCCAAATGAGATTCGCACAAACACACACAACACTTCCCCATGTAGCCTGAAAAACGATGTTGGGGTAAGTGCAGTTATAGAGCACTGATGTAGGCTGGCACCGCACACGAAGTAGTGGCTGAGCACTCATCCCGCCTGCCTTAGTATCCCAAGTGGTGATGTTAACACACTGCACCAGGCACTCATGTGAGGTTGTAGACCTAGGGAAGCCCCAGAACTGGTTCGGATATCTGCTGGCACTGTTGCTCGAGAGCGGTAACTGCAGCGCAGTGCAGCGCTATCCCCTGCACCACCTCTCCCCACACAGACTCCCAGAGACAACTGCCATTCGCCACTAAGTGGCGGTGGCGTCACCGCGGTGCCTGTGCAAGGATATATGCACTTTAAGGCCACGTGAAGTATCGACCGGTCACTGGTAGGAGATCATGCAACAAATCCAGGGGTGCCATGGGTTGACTGAGATAACTAGAAGATGCAACAACTGTGTCCCCTACTGTGCCAACTTGCTGTGTTTTAGCCACCCGGCGCTCTGCTTGTTGTTGTGAGTGTTGCTCCTCTGCCCTCCTCTGTTAATGGAGGGCAACTGCCTCCAACTGACCAGCAGCATCCTTCATGAGCCTCCTCCAGAGGCCAATCTTGACACTATTGGTACCAGTCATCAGCAAGTCCTCTCAGCTCTATATCCTCTTTATAACATCATTCCATATATATGAATATGTTTTACCCTTTTTGGTAATAAAACAGGTGTAAAGATGTTAAAACACCAAACTGAAACCTTTTGCAAAGAATCATGTCTGCAATAACCACACATAGGTGGTGAACATGAAAACAAAAACATACTCTGGTAGGATATGCATTCAACGGTCCCATGATGTAGTTGCTCACCCCAAGCTCTCAATGTCCTGATAGTGCAGTCTTTGTATTGTTCGTATTTTGGCGTCCTCTAGTCTAACACTGTTTGAGACTAGTCTCTAAAGAAAGTTGTCTCTGGTGTGGACCAATCAGTTTCAAAGACAATGCATGTGGTTAATGCAGACATGATTCCTTGCAAAAGGTTTCAGTTTGGTGTTTAAACATCTTAACACCTGTTTAATTGCCAGAAAGGGTAAAACCCATTCTTATATGTTGATACTGGAGAGGTCCCATGATCATACAGGTAGGAACAACAGGTTCCATACTGCCCACCAGGGATTATTTGTCTGTCGTGCATACCACGGCCCCGCCCGACCAGGCCCCGCCCCACCAGAGCCCTCCCATTGGCTCGGGGGCGCCGAATACAATTATTTCATTAATCGAGCTCGCGGGGTTTCGCCGACCAATGGGAGCGGTGGGTTGGGGTTGGTAGAGGGGGGGTTAGTGGTGGGGAGGGCACCGCCGCGACTCGGGCCAATGAAAGGGGCGATGTTTCATTCACAAAATGGAACTGGGGGAGGGTGGCTCCATTCATAAAATGGAAGCCTTGAAAAGAAAAAAGCGGATCTTTTTGCCTCGTGTTTCTTTCAACATTCCCAGCCTTAGGGTGATTCAGTTTGTCCAAAAAAGCAAATGTATTCCTTGTAAAAGATAAAACAAATTAATCCATTTCTAGGTTAACATGAAGCATATAAATTAACCCCCTCCCCCCCAATAAAAAAATACTTTACGGAGTATTATATGACAATGCATATAACAGGTAGGAACAACAGGTTCCACACTGCCCACCAGGGATTATTTGTCTGTCTGTCGTGCACAAATGCGCTGTCCAACCAAGTTCCTACCTGCCCACTCCGAAGGAACGTGTTTCCATCTCTTCTCTAGCCCGTGCCATGCCCGTTTAGCCACCTTAATCCAGCCACGCAAAAGTGTTTGGGCATGAGGTGGCTGGGCATGCGGGCTAGATGACCCAGCCAACGCAGCCTTGCCTGCCGGGGGAGCTCACCGATAAGACGGTGTCCAGATCTTTCAAGGATTTGTGAGCTCCTCATACAATACAGCCTGGTTAAACCCACAAGGGATCATTGGCAGGCCAGCCTAAATGTTTCTAACCGGCAAAGATATTCCATTAGGGGGGTCCACATTTATCGCAAGCATATAGAAGGCAAGGCATAATTGGCCAAGAACACCAAAAGCTTTGTGTGGGGAACCAGACCAGGTAGCTTCCACCCAGCGTTACGCAGCCGTTAAGTTGTTTAAGAGGTTTGGTGCTGCAGATGACAAAGATCTGTCCAACCACGTGGTTTTGTTTGGTTGTTGGTGGTTGGAGGAGTGTTTTTGGGGTGTGGAGCGAAGTGATCCGTTGTTTTGCTTGGACTGTATGAGGTTTCTGATGTAAGGTGCAGCTTGTCTGTGTATTGCACTACATTCTGGGGCACCTTGGTAGCGAGATGTTCACTACCTCGCCTGGTATGCAGGTCGTGGGTTTGATCCCAACCCTGATGTCTGCATATTTGGAGTTTGTGTGTCTCTTTCCCTGAGGTTCCGTGTATTTTTCTACAGATCCTCAATTTTTTTCCTTAGCATTTAGAAACAACTTGCATTTAGAGTATTTGGCTTCTATAAATGTCCACGTGATAAGCCACGTCGTAGAGCTATCATTTGTGGCCAGGTCGCTTTGAAAAAAATAGCTATTTAGCGAAGTGGACCTTACCTGGTAACATAAACAAAAAGTTTCGTTTTAGTCCTGACTCCTCAAGGAAAAATACATGGACAAGGTGTCCATCAATATAGAAACGTTACTCTTCAGTGGTCAGAACGAGAAAATAAATATGTCATTGACTATTCAAATTGAATGACAGTCACGACTCAGTATGAGTTAATATGGTAAAAACTGCACCAACTCATGTGATTATCTGTCACACAATGAATAACTCGTAACATGAAAGATCTTTAGACTTCCAGCTAAATACCTAACTGCCTGATATGTTACAACCTGTTCACAGATATCTGCCTGGTACGATACTGCCTGTAAACATGTCTCCCCGTTTAATTCCATTGTCTCCCAGTGTCTTCTTGTATCCTCCATGGCCCCTCAATGTATCCCTCTGTATGATGTTGCGTCTCAGTGTCTCCCCGTGTCTCCCAGAATCTACCTGTCTCTTCCTGTGCCAGTGTCTCCCTGTATCGCCTTCCATCTATCATTGCCTCAATATCTTAAATTGTCTCCCAGTGTCTCCCTGTGTCTCTCAGCATCGTCTAATTTATGTCAGTGTCTCCCAGTATCTTCCTGCATCGCTCAGTGTCTCCAAACACTGGCACTCCTGGTGTGTAACTACACCCTAGTGACTGAGTGGGTGAGTGGATGGGCGAGTAGGTGAGTGGGTGGGTGAGTAGGTATGAGTAGGTGAGCGAAAACGGAAATTGGGTGAGGGAGTTTGAGTGGGTGATGTCACAACGGCGCTTGTACCAGGATCGGTGCACCGTGAGGCTAGTCGTATGGTTTCATGCCATCAGCAACAACTCATCCAGCAGTGGACAGACCCTGGCTGCGTAGCCTCACCTCGTTGTAATCGCCGTGTTGTGACATCGCGGGGGAGGAGGCGGTGAGTGAGCCGAGGTCACCACAGCTCCATTCCCTTCCACGGAGAGATGCGAAAATTCGGAGTCTTAGTCCTGCATAGAAAAAAAAATCCCCCGTATAGCCCCACTGGTGGGACAAGTGCTGTTAGCGAGTAGCAGCAACTATGAAGGTCCGCACGGCACCTAGCCTGGCACAAGCGCCGTTGTGATGTCACCATTTACTCACCCACCCATTCCCCTCCATCAATCTCCCACTCAGTCACTGGGGTGTAGTTACAAGGAGATACAGGGAGACACTGTGACGAGCGATGGGTGGCCACCACCATCCCGCCCAGCTGCCCTCGTCTCCCCAGTGGCGAAGTTTACACACTCGGTACTCACTTGAGGCAGTCGACCTCGGGGAGGTGCGCTAACCACTGCGCCACCGCTCCCCTGGCAACAAACGGCGCGCTAATCACTGCGCCACCGCTCCCCACACAACACACGGCGCGCTAACCCCTGCGCCACCGCTCCCCACGCAACACACACGGCGCGCTAACCACTGCGCCACCGCTCCCCACGCAACACACACGGCGCGCTAACCACTGCGCCACCGCTCCCCACGCAACACACGCGGTGAACTTTTTTCCCGCGATTTTTTAAAACAGCAAAATAAACAAATTCACCCAAACTGCGAGGAAAGCGACTTCGTGCGATGCCCGAGGCTCGAGCTTCCCTCAGCGGCGCGGGGACTTTGCTCGTCACGCGAAGCAGCGCGGCCGGACTGCCGCGTTGAGAATTCCTCTGAATGTGGCCTCCTCAGGAGGGGGGGGGGGGTCACGTGATGCGGGCGCGGGCATAGACGGATGTGACGTCACACTATCAGGCGCTCGAGTTCAGGACTGTACTGGATTTTTTAACATTTAAACACAACCAAATGTAACTCGTATTCAAATGTCTGTTTTACTCAAACACGAATGAACGATAGAGCAGTACTAATAAATTACTTAGACTAAACTAATTGTTATCGAAAACTTATTTGCAATGTTTAGTGACGTCCCATCCGTTAATTTTGGCTCGGAACATTTCTCTGGAAAACTCACTAACCCGGAAGTTAAAGTTTATGTTTTAGAAAAATTCTTACTTTTTAAGCTCTTGATAAATATACAGGTTCGATATATCAAAGGTTAAAGGGAAATCGGTAATAATTGGGTAAAAACATGTTTTAGAATAATGCGGAGAGATCGTGACGTCATGGTCGTCAAGCGTTGTTTCTGGCTAAAGATGTGACTCGCCGGCATGTTCGTTAATGTTAGTTAATATACTGTCTGTTTTTACAATGCAGAAAATAGTAATTTTAAATTAGGAAAAATTAAACACATTTTAAATGTAAAATTTGAAAGCAGTAAACGTCACATCCGTCATCTTTAAAATCCTTATCCGGATGTGCCGTCACCGACCGAACGTGAACTTTAATATATTTTTGGTGCACTGATACATTCAATTAACCATTAAGTTATGGCTGTTTTAACGTAACGTTGCCCGAGTCTTACGACACCATCAAATATAACAACACCTCAAATAATTTAAAACACTTTCCTGACATCACATCCGTAAATCCGTAAACATCCCAAATGACGTCATCAGCGGCCGTGACGTCCCGTTATTAAACCATTCGGGGTGACGTCACCCGGCAGAAAGGGGGAGGTGGGGGTCAGAGGGGAGGTGGAGGCGATCTTACATTTGGAGCTTTCGTGACTGCAGGAATTACTCTTTGGTTCTGTCGGTAAAGTCACGTATAAAAATAAAATAATAAATTAAATAATAGCATACGACGTTTCGATTGCAACACAAGCAACCATCATCAGGTATAAATGAAATAGCAACAAAAATCTAACCAGAAAACTATAGACATATAAGCAGACAGATATCACCAAGATACATAGAGAGAGTAACACGGACACAGAGAGGGAGATCGTCTCTGTGGCGAGGCCCCAAATAGACAGAGGGGGGCGGGGGCGGAGAGAGGGAGGGGTTTGATAAAAAACTAACACGTCAATGAGTGCGGCGACGCGTGGTCAATTACACAAGCTTGAACATTAGGAGAGAGGGAGAAAGAACACACTAAATTAAATAACCTAGCAAAATATCGAAATGTTATGTAATACAACACAGAGAGTCGGTCAACACACAATTAACGCATAGCCTGGTCGATTACGTATTTCAAAGATTGCTAAGTTAGAATTTAAGTGTGAAAATTCCAAAGAGAGACAAAACATAAACCAAGAGGAACGGAGACACAGACAGAGCAGAACATAAGAACGACAAAAAACGAGTGGAGACAGAAAAAAGTACACTAAATACTATATGTCTGTCTATAGTTTTCTGGTTAGATTTTTGTTGCTATTGCATTTATACCTGATGATGATTGCTTGTGTTGCAATCGAAACGTCGTATGCTATTATTTAATTTATTATTTTATCTTTATACGTGACTTTACCGAAAGAACCAAAGAATTATGTCTCTCTCTTTGCTTGTGTCTGCCTGTGTCTATGTTACGTCTCTCTCTCTCTGCTTGTCTGCCTGTGTGTCTATGTTATGTCTTTCTCTCTGCTTGTGTCTGCCTGTGTGTCTATGTTATGTCTCTCTCTCTGCTTGTGTCTGCCTGTGTGTCTATGTTATGTCTCTCTCTCTGCTTGTGTCTGCCTGTGTGTCTATGTTATGTCTTTCTCTCTGCTTGTGTCTGCCTGTGTGTCTATGTTATGTCTCTCTCTCTGCTTGTGTCTGCCTGTGTGTCTATGTTACGTCTCTCTCTCTGCTTGTGTCTGCCTGTGTGTCTATGTTATGTCTTTCTGCTTGTGTCTGCCTGTGTGTCTATGTTATGTCTCTCTCTCTGCTTGTGTCTGCCTGTGTGTCTATGTTATGTCTTTCTCTCTGCTTGTGTCTGCCTGTGTGTCTATGTTATGTCTCTAGCAAAATATACATTACATTTCGATATTTTGCTAGGTTATTTAATTTTAGTGTGTCTCCTAATTTTCAAGCTTGCGTACCGTACCACGTCGTCGTCCACTCATTGACATGCTATTTTTTTCTCTGCCCCCTCCCTCTCTCCGCCCCTCTCTATATTTAAGGCCTCGTCACAGAGACGATCCCTCTCTCTTTGTACCGATACGTATTCTCTCTCTGTGTATCTTTGTGATATCTGTCTGCTTATATGTCTGTCTATAGTTTTCTGGTTAAATTTTTGTTGCTATTTCTTTTATACCTGATGATGATTGCTTGTGTTGCAATAGAGACGTCGTATGCTATTATTTAATTTATTATTTTATCTTTATACGTGACTTTACCGAAAGAACCAAAGAGTAATTCCTGCAGTCACGAAAGCTCCAAATTTAAGATCGAACCACTTCTACGGGGAAGTTTCAAGTTTATCTTTTTCTCTCTCTCTGGGTTTTTTGTTTTCTCTCTCTGCCTGTGTATTTAGTGTATTTTTTCTGTCTCCACTCGTTTTTTGTCGTTCTTATGTTCTGCTCTGTCTGTGTGTCTCCGTTCCTCTTGTTTTATGTTTTGTCTCTCTTTGGAATTTTCACACTTAAATTCTAACTTAGCAATCTTTGAAATACGTAATCGACCAGGCTATGCGTTAATTGTGTGTTGACCGACTCTCTGTGTTGTATTACATAACATTTTGATATTTTGCTAGGTTATTTAATTTAGTGTGTTCTTTCTCCCTCTTTCCTAATGTACAAGCTTGTGTAATTGACCACGTGTCGCCGCACTCATTGACATGTTAATTTTTTCTCGAACCCCTCCCTCTCTCCGCCCCCGCCCCCCTCTGTCTATTTAAGGCCTCGCCACAGAGACGATCTCCCTCTCTGTGCCCGTGTTACTCTCTCTCTATGTATCTTGGTGATATCTGTCTGCTTATATGTCTGTCTATAGTTTTCTGGTTAGATTTTTGTTGCTATTTCATTTATACCTGATGATGATTGCTTGTGTTGCAATCGAAACGTCGTATGCTATTATTTAATTTATTATTTTATCTTTATACGTGACTTTACCGAAAGAACCAAAGAGTAGAGTGTGGAGGCGTTGAAGGTGGTGGAGGGGAGGGGTTGACAAGGTTGTTGGGGGGAGGGGTCGAGAGGGTTGGGGGGTGGAGTAGGGGGGAGGGGCGGGAGGAGGAGTGAGGGTTGGAGGGGGGTAGAGTAGGGGGAGGTGTGGTCGGAGGGCTGAAGGGAATGGAGTTGAGGGAGGGGTGAAGGGGAGAGGCCGTGGTTATATTGAATTGAATTTCGATTTAAAGCTGTCGTGAATGCAGGGATTCATCTTCTTGGTTCTTTCGGTAAAGTCACATAGATGGGAAGTAATAAAATTATAAAAATAAAACATAATAAAATAATTATCACGACATTTCGGTCACAACGCAAGCAGCCGTCCTCAGGTGAAGACCAGGTCTGTCGGGGAGACAGCCTCTCGGTTGGAAGGGGGGAAGGGCGCCTTGACAAAATAATTTGCATATCAAGAGGAATTTTGCATATTTATGGGAAATGCAGGTATGTGATTAGTACTACTTGTGAAATGCGTAGGAGGTGAGCGGGGGGTTTTCAAAGTCATATTATGCCCGTGCATTATGCAGGATTAGCAGAATCAAAGGGAGGGGATAGGGGTAGCATTAATAAAGGGAAGGAATGTTAATAGTATGTAGCTGCAGTAACTAAACAACCAAGTAAAAAACTAAAGTATAAACTACATAGTATCATCAGTATACTAAATATACTCTACAATAAGCTGAGCTACTAACAGTAAGTAATACATTACAATTCTATGTCGCAAAAAATGTAATATGCTTCCAGCTAAACTTTTTTCCCTTACATCACATGGGTCTACCCCGTACTATATGCTGCCATAGACAAACCCAACATTAAATTATATACTGTATTACTATACACCACCCTATACCTAAGAATAATATAGTGTAATATTACACTATTTATTATACTAAGAGGAAAGCAACGAAATATGTCAATGGAAGAGTAGTAGTAGGAGACTTGCAGCGGAGCAAAGAATCCATTCCCTGCGGAGAATACAAGATATATAGTCATGCCAGTAAGTGGACTGCGGTCTGAAAGTCACCGTAAACGTGAACACAATCAGTTAAGATCCGAAATGGTTTATTACGTCCTTCCAATGATTGCTGAGCCAGAATCCATCTTCTCGGTTGAAATTGTCTCTGTGTTTGTATATGTGGATCGCCTCATGAACGAATCTCTCACGGTAGCCAGATGGCTTGCAGAGAACCTCTGTCTTGGAGAAGTCAATGTCATGTGAGCCCACTGAATTGTAACAGTGATCTGCCACGGCTGAGGTGTTTGTCCTACCGTGTTTCAGGTCTGCTTTATGTTCACGGATGCGGTCCGAGACATGTCGTTTGCTTTCTCCAATGTAACTGCTACCACAGAGGCAACTTAGTTTGTAGATGCCAGGGTACTGTATGTCTGGAACCACATCTTTTACAGACGGGACCAGATCACGGATTTTATGTACTGTTTTAAATTGGACCTGGATTTTGTGTTTATTCAGGATTTTGGAGATCTTTTTTGTGACCCCCGCAATGTAGGGTAAGGTGATGGTTTTGAATGGCTCCTCAACCGGATCCTTCTTGATGGTTGGAGTGATGGCTTTGCGGATTGTGTAGTCGGAGTAACCATTAGCCTTAAGAGCTTGGCGTACGTGCTTGAGTTCACTGGCAATGTGTTCCTGATCGGAGATGCATTGGGCTCTATGGTGTAGACTGTAGAGTCTTGATGAGGGATTTCTTCTGGGATGGATGGTGGTGTAAATCCGGTTTTAGGTAAGCATCCGTATGGGTAGCTTTCCTGTAGACAGAGTGGCTCATTGAACCATCAGGTCTCCTTTTAATTAGGACATCCAAAAAAGGTAGCTTGTCATCTTTTTCGACTTCCATGGTGAATCTGATGGCTGGGTGTATGGAATTGATGTGGTCGAGGAATTGGTCTAGAGCAGGCCGGCCATGTGGCCAGATGACAAAAGTGTCATCTATGTACCTCTTCCATAAGGTTGGGCGTAGAGTGGCAGTCTGGATGGCGTCAGTCTCAAATTTCTCCATGAAAAAGTTGGCTACACCCGGAGATAGGGGGAGCCCATTGGGGTGCCCTCAGTTTGTTTGTAGAAAGTTCCATTCAGTTCCAGTTCCAAAGTTCCATAATTGTAATGTATGACTTACAGTACTGTTAGTAGCTCAGCTTATTGGAGAGTATATTTAGTATATTGATGATATTGATGTAGTTTATATTTTAGTTTTTTACTTGGTGGTTTGGCGGCTGCAGCTCCTTACTATTAAAATTCCTTCCGTTTAGTACTGCTAACTCTACTTACTCCCTTTGTTGCTGCTAATCCTACATAATGCACGGGCATAATATGACTTTGAGACCCCCCACCTCCTACGCATTCCACAAGTAGTGACTAATTCCATATCTGCATTTCCCATACATATGCTAAATTCCTCTGTTGATATGCAAAGTCCTTTGTCAAGGCGCCCTTCCTCCTCTAACCCAGCTTAAATATACGCTGCCAAGCTTGGTGTTCATTCAGACGCTGTCTTTCCGACAGACCTGTTCTTCACCTGAGGACGGCTGCTTGCGTTGTGGCCGAAACGTCGCGAGAATTGTATTTGATTATGTTTTACTTTTTATTATGTTTATTATTTCCCTTCTACGTGACTTTATCGAAAGAACCAAGAAGATATATTATTTATTTACTTACTTGCTTTTTCGACCTACGTAACTTTACCGTAAACTAAAGCTTCAAACCAAGTTTTTGTGATATTTTATCAAACTCTGTTTTCAAGAAAGGACACATGTTAGGACTCGATTATTCTAGTCCAGGCTTGATGATAAATTTCATGAAGTTGTGATAAGGGATCT